CCCACACACAAGATTCCTAAGCTCTGCATCCAGTTCTGACCTTCTTTCTTCAGATTACATTTCTAATTGTTGACTGAATACCCAGTGCTTCTTTAAATTCAGCATGTCCAAACCTGGCATCTTCTCTCTGAAAAATTAACTCCTCCTCATGTTGTCCACATTTCACCGAGTAGTACCATGTCCACTGAGTCAACCCACCACAAATTTGGGTGTGTTTGTTTGTTTTTACTTCCTTGAATAGTTCTAGAAGTGCAGTGGCTAATAGAGTAGCTACTGGCTGCAATTTAAATTTGAATTTAAATTGATGAAAATAGAATACAATTGCAAACTCAGTTTTGTTTTATTTCCCCCCCCCATACAAATCAATTTTTAAACATTTCAGCTTGCCACCAGCTTCCAGCTCCAGTTCCTCTAAATGCCCCAGGTTGAGCTATCCATCTAGTGCACAGAGGTGACCCAGTTGCTGATCTCTTAATCTACATCTGTCCATGGCAGCATGTTGGTGGATTCTCTAGTATTAGTGCATATCTGCTCAATGCTGAAGCCAGAACCCTGGTGCCAAGGTGGAGGTGGGAGAGCAGGTATCCCTCCCTTGAAGTTTACGTGGAACAGTAGCCAGGGAGGTTCCTGCACTTACTCCCAGAGGTACGGGGGCACATTGCCGGTGCTCACTAGCCACATGTGACCCAGTGGACAGTGCGGTCGGAACACCGCCATCGCTTTTGGAACTTCTGGTGGGCAGTGCTGATGTAAGGTGGACTTGCCATTGTCACTCCCACATCACTGTTTGAGTTATCATTTCTCTCCTGAACTGTCCATAGAGCCCTTGACTCACCTCCTTTATCTTCTCACTCCAGCCCATTCTCCTCTCTGATCAAATGATGTTTATAAAACCCCGTTCTCCCTTTGGGAGTCATCTATAATAATAAAAGCATACTATGCTAATTAGACCAAACAGCTGAACGACCTTCCAGACATCCTTCTGGATGAAGCCGTAGTGGCGGGGGCCTAGGCAGAGGCAGTTAGGGGCGATCGGGCAGGCAGGCAAACAGTTGGGGGCAATCAGGCAGGCAGGCAGAGTGGTTAGGGGCATCAGGCAGGCAGGCAGAGTGGTTAGGGGCAATGAGGCAGGCAGGCCTTAGGGGTGATGAGGCAGGCAGAGTGGTTAGGGGCAAGCAGGCAGGCAGGCGAGCAGTTAGGAGCCAGCTGTCCCAGATTGTGAGAGGATGCAGGCCAGACTGAGGGAAACCCACCCCCCCAATGCACTGATTTCATGCACTGGGCCTCTAGTTAAGGTATAAATGGGAGGAGCAGAGTTCCAGCATTTTAATGTCGTTTCCTTACATGAACTCTTCAGAGCCTCCCTTGTTACCCTTTTCTTTTTATTTGCTTATTGAACAACTACTCAACCTTCAAGATGGAATCCTAGTGTTTGCTGCTGTGGGAATGCAGAGGCGATGTACCTTCTATACTGTGACATCCCTGTAGGTTCCCCTTTTCAGAGCATGGTTCATATCATAATGTTTGGCTGGACTGTGAGCCCCGGAAATATAAGAAACTTACCTTCATACTCTACCAGGTTTCCAACGTATGTAACAGATTAACTTCTCTTCTGGCATCTAGATAGATTCTGGCTATGTGCTAACTTTAGGAGAAATAAACAAACAGCCTTTCAAATCGCGCTCTGTGTTCTGTTGTTGAAGAACTCCAAGGTTGTAAAGGGTGATGGGGGACTTTCCCACAAATATAGAATCCTAGCTTCGGGGTAGCTGTGATCCCTCCCTACCCCCTGACTCCAAGCCACATGTGTTATAGAGAGAAAAATACAGCGTGGGGCAAACGTAGGTTTACAGCTGTTCATATGGAAAATAATACAATAATTAATACATAATAACACAGGAATAAACTCTGTGTTTTGCTTACAACTGTAAACCTACTTTTACTCCACCCTATTTTCTCTAATAAAATACCTTCAATATAAGGTGGGTATATTAGTTCGTTACTTCAAACATAAAACAACAGATGCGCATTCTCTCACAGCTCAGAATCCACAAAATCAGGTTGTCGTCAGGGCTGTCCTCCCAGAGGCTCTAAGAGAGATTCCTTCCTGCCTCCTCCAGCCTCTGGCCACTCCTGGTGTTCTTACCTTCACCTTCACATGACCTTGACCTTCACATGACCTTCATCTTCACCCGACCTTCTTCCCTGGGTCTGTTTCAAATCTCCCCTTTCTTTTCTGTGTGAGGACCCCAGTCATTAGATTTAGGGCCCGCACCATATTCAAAATGAGCTCATCTTGAGTTTCTTAACTTAATGACATCTACAAGGACCGTACTTCAAAATAAGGTCATATTCACAGGTACCTGGGGGTTAGAACCCGGACATATCTTTTAGGGGAACATACTCCAACCTGTGACATGTGAGTATAAAAGTGAGGGTCTAACAGCTGTGTTTCCTCCCTTCTTGAGCCTTACCTAGGCTGACCCAGCCAACTCTAGCCTTCATTTCTGTGAATTGAAATTAAGACACACACACACACACACACACAGAGAGAGAGAGAGAGAGAGAGAGAGAGAGAGAGAGAGAGAGAGAGACAAACACATACACACCCCTCCAGAGCCCAAATCAAGAAGGGAGAAAAGGCTGTTTAACTCAGCCAGTTCTCTCTCTTTTCATGACAGTCATCCCACTCACCTAGGCTGGATTTTTTCACTGCCTAACAATGATCATTACATAATAAAGCATAGACCAAAATAAACATGTTTATCATCCTCTGGTTCTCAAAGACATTCTTCGGGTCCAAAGCTTTTCAATGAACATGGGTATTTAGATGTAGGGATTACTTTAAGCATGCATGCCTGTGCACTAGTACGCCGTGGAAAAAGACTCAGAGTAAATGTCTCTGTAGAGTAAGAAAGAACATGGTGCTTTCTCTGTTTTCATTTTTCAGTGTCATCTAAAGTCTCCATAGTGAACACATTTTGCTTTAGTGATAAGAAGGAGAAACATTTTTTAAAACATGGGAAGTTTTAATGAAGTTTTTATAAATTGCCCAGGACAGTTTGTATTTTTTAAAAAGCAAGATGAGTGGGCCAATTGGGGTTCTTGGCACAGATCACTGATTTTGTTGCGAGTGACTCAGACACTCTTTAGATTGTGGAGTGGTGTTAACATTGTTGTTATTCAGGGCCTCATAGACTTCCACAGCAATAGAAATTGAAATCCATGGTCTTCACTAGGGAGGTTTCCCTAGTGCCGGGTAGCAGGCCTGAGCGGGGAACGGGCCCTCTCCCTTCACCATAGCGTGCAATGAGGCATCCACACTACCCCCATTCTTGGTTTGTAGGGCACATTTCATAATGAGCCCTGTATCTCTCACCAGCAACACCATTCAGCTTTGACAGGCGTGTGTTCTCTGGTCTTTAACTCTTTTCAGGTCAGCCCTGTGTCTGGCGCGTTACTATCGAATGCACTTTGCTCCCAGGGAATTTTCCTATTTGGCTTCTAACATGTTAATAAATTATTGAAATTTCAATTACTTTTGGTTCCCAATTTAGCTGGATGGAGACATCCAAAGTACTTAATATGAAAGCTTTTCAGCCACTTTTAGAGAAAGGTTTGCCTCGCAGGGTTTGGCGCCAGGGCCACAGGATCAGGTTCCGCTCCTCCTGCCTCTGGGACTAAAGGGCTCATGGCCCTGGAAGTGCCTCAGGCCAGTGCTGTGGAGGATGTGGGCCCCTTCCCGGGAGCGTCTGACCTCCTGGGAGCTTGTTGGATGTGCGGGCTCCTGGGCTTTCTCCGCATCTGCTCAGTCAGAACCCCCAGGGGGATGCTGTGTTTTCACCAGCCCTGGACATCTGGTGCACCTACAAGTTTGGGAAGCCCTGCCTTCGATATCCTGGTGCTAATTCTTCCCAGCAGGGCCTGTGACCCATTTGCTAGAGCCTGTCACCCTTTTGCAAGGGCCTGTGGGTGCTGCAGTCAGTTTGCCCTTTAAGATAGACGCTGTACACAGTGACAAAGCTGTGATCCAGGTCATCTGAAAGACCAGTTTCTACAGTCTTCACTTACTCATCACTGAACCGTCACCATAGAGAAGCAGGATTTGAACATTTAAATTCTGTGCAGGTAAATGTGTGTTCTAAGTATCCTTCAGAGGGCCCTGTTGTTCATTTTTATATAAAAGCACTATTTAGATATTCCTTCCCACTGCCCCAGGGATAAGCCCATCTTGAAGGTGCCACCTCTGTCTCCACCTTAGCCTCGCCTCCTTGCCAGTTCGCATCTCTCTTCTACCTGCAGTTCTTCAAACGCAGCGCGTCAGCATAATGCCTGTGCTCGTGTGTAGGCTGTTCGCCCTGCCCCACTCACCCACGCCACCTCCAAAGCCAGCCCTGTCCACCTGTCAGACTGCTGAGTACCACTCCCTCCTGAACCCATCCCTGATCATCTCAGATGGAGGCATACCCTTCCCCTCCTCTGCTTCCTACACCACTGGACACAGACGTTTATAGCCCGCAGTGTGCACTGTGTTGAATTTATTAGTCTCCCTCCTCGGAGCTCTGAGCTCCATGAGAGTGGAGATTCCATCCTGGCTCCTCGTCTGCAGTGCCCGGCACAGCGTCAGGCACATGAGGAATAGACTTCCTTAGAGAGGATTGCTCTACCTCTGCTGGCAGCTTCCAGTGCCTTAGACAACATGCCCCTCTTGTATTTGTGGAACACAGATGATGGCCATGGCAGGTCTAATGAAGAATACAGTGATACCTTAAAAAAGAGAGATAACATTAAAAGAGCCAATTATATTTTTTTAAAAAAGAACACAGTGACACGAATATGGACTCAACCAACTTAGCTTGTCAGTGAAGCTGATTCTATAATGTAGATCAGTGTCCTACATCCACTATCTGGCCAGGGAATCCACCCACTGTGTCTAAAGGCATTATTAATTATTATTATTATTATTATTATTATTATTATTATTATTATTATTATTTCAGGTGCGAGAGCTTCAGACCCGACTGCAGAGCGTGCAGGCCACAGGGCCCTCCAGCCCCGGCCGCCTCACTTCCACCAACCGCCCCGTTAACCCCAGCACCGGGGAGCTGAGCACGAGCAGCAGCAGCAATGACATCCCCATCGCCAAGGTGAGCTTCTGGGGGCAGCGCACCTCCTGTTATCTGGAGGCACCAGCCTGTACCAAGGTGGCCACTGTGCAGGTCTGTGATGAGCTCAGATGCCCCAGGAGCTTCCCAGGATCCCACACAGGCCTCCCACGTTGGAGCTGCAGGGAGAGATAACCCACTAGTAGTTTTAAGTCTCTCTGACGTGCAACCTGGACTCCAGCTCCCATTAATCAGCCAGCTGGAGCATGTCACCACTGACAGTTCACTGTGGAGAGGGAGATGTTTGTCAGGTTCTACAACACTAAAGAGTGGATGGAGAGCTGCTCACGAGGACTAAGGTTCAGCCCAGGAGGGGACCCTACGTGATGAACCACGGTCTCCCCACTCATAGGACTGCCAGCGCTGCCAGCAGGAAAATAGGTTAGGATGGGTGGCCACGGTCGCTGTGAGAAGTAGTCCCTCCCACTCTTTGCCACAGCTCTAGGCTCATATGTTGAGTCCATCCTAGAGAGACTGTTCAAACTGTACCCTTCCCCTTCCCCAGTCACCAGCCAGTCTCCACAAGAAGATCAGTCTCAACCATCAAGTTGTGTACTTTAGGTCAAAACAGTGTTTCTTAACCAGAAGTGATTTTGTCCCCCAAGGGATAGTTGGCAGTATCTGGAGACAAATTTGATGGTCACAACTGGAGTGCTACTGGTATCTTGTGACTAGAAGCCAGGGATGCTGATAAACATCCTACAATGCACAGAACAGCCCCCACCACAAAGAGCACCAGCCCAAAATGTCAGTGGTGCTAGGGTTGAAAAACCCTGGGTTAAATGGATAGTAGAAAAATTGGACAAGTGAGTTGTTTTTTGAACCACAGCCAGGGGTGAACCTGAGGAGGGGCAGTGAAGGATTAAAGAAGACAGACAAGAGAATGCAGTTGGGGCCAGGTAGGATCACTGTGCCTGGATGAGGAAACAGTGACCAAGCCTGTAAGCCCAAGGTTTATTTTATAGTCAGATCACACAAAGCAAAACAAGGGGAGAGGTCAACATGTTTACAATGTTCTTGTGAGTTTCAAATCTATTTCGTTACTCAAGCCTTGTTTTGGCAGCACTTGCTGCACCTCCCACAGCCCATTAGCTACCTAGGAATAAGGGAGGACTATAACGTCAAGCTTAATCGTGCTAGGAGGGCTCTGCCCTCCAAGCTGGGACTTGTATGTGGCTCTGCCACAGGTCAGTCTGAGGCTTGACCCTATAGCCGCTCCCTACAGTTTTTAAGATATTAATCAGTTTAGTTAACCATGGTTAACCAGTATGCCGATATAAACTATGTGAACAGTTTATCTAGGGAATGACTTGTCCTTTTTTTTGATAGTTTGTTGTTTTGCTTTTTAAGATTGCTGAGAGGGTGAAGCTATCCAAGACCAGGTCTGAATCTTCATCGTCTGATCGGCCCGTCCTGGGCTCAGAAATCAGCAGCATCGGGGTGAGTGTCCATGAGAAGCAAGTTCCCAATAGAGCTGCACAGACAATGGCTTAGAGATCATGGAGGGACTTCCAAAGTTCACTTCCAGTGAACCAGTTAATTATAATAATAAATTACGATTTCCTCCCAGAGTAGGATTAAAATATACAGTGGTTTCCACATGGTGAATTACTTCTTCAGCTTTAAGGGAGACTTTTTCTCAACTTGAAACTGTTCAGAAAGAAATGATTTAAGTCTAGTTGCTGGTGATGTATGTGAAAGTCTGGAACTGTTTGCTTTCTATCAGCCTGCTCCCCAGAGACTGAGCCAGGAAGCCCTAAAAGAACTTCACCTTTTGCACATCCCCTTGGAAGTCAGTGCCCTCTCCAGTGGGGACAAACGCTACCTTTGAAGTGAAGCCCAGTGCTCTGACAGACCAGGACCCTCTAGCCCAGCCCCAGAGTGCTCATTTGTAGAACCTGCCAGCCCCCGGGGCTAGACTGATGGATGGTGGAAAGGCAGGGGTTCAGGTTCCCTGAGGGATACCTTTTAGGATTGGGGATGAAGTTAGGAGAGCCAGCTGTTAGATCCTCAGGGGTGGAGAGAGTCTGAATAGCACTTTTAAGGCCCTAATTTAGAATTCTACGCTGAGCAAAATTTGCATGCATCCAGATTCTATGCCAAATTTAAATTGTGAAATTAAAGGAGTCGGCCACTCTCCTTGGCTATAGCAGCCAGGGACAAGGCCCTGGAGTGGCAGGGGATAAGGAAGGGGGAAGGGAGTCCACACTCTGCTTAGTATCCAAAACATGAGGGACTCTCAGGGGGCATTATCCCCACAGCAAGCATGTGAAGGATGCAGCTGTGTTTTGGTCCTGTATCTGTATTGCTTTCACAGCACGTAGTTAGCTTTCTGCACTAGAATCATATACAAACCGAGAAAGATCAGGGTAACCATCTCCTGGGGCCTGATCCTCAGGAATAAGAGCTTTAAATAGTTTGGCATGTAAAGCATGCCTGGGGGTCCGGGTTCCTGAAGTGACACTGTCCCAACGGGGATTCATGCTCACCTGTACAGGTATCCAGCAGCGTGGCGGAACACCTGGCCCACTCTCTTCAGGACTGCTCCAACATCCAAGAGATCTTCCAAACTCTCTACTCACATGGATCTGCCATCTCCGAAAGCAAAATTAGAGAGTTTGAGGTGGAAACGGAACGGTTGAACAGGTAAAGGGAAACCTGTATACTTGCATGATGGTGGGAGCTGCCCCTTTGCAAAGATCGATTGAAGTGGCCTTGTGTATTGTGGCTCTGTGATGCTGTCAGGCTGGTGGGTGGGAGTTCTACCACCTTGCTCATCACAGGAGCGCTTACAGAAAGCAGGCGGGGCTGGCTTCACAGGTGGGAGACCTGAGACTCAAATGTGTGGGGCCTCGTACTCAGAAGGACCCCACACTTGCTTTACTGCTCTGCTCTCACTGTTTTAAATTCTTTA